TCAGCCGCCGCTCTCCATCCCCAGCAGAGGGCAATATGCAATCCTGTTGAGGAGGCTACTTCATGTCGTTTTCCAACTTAAACTAAGTCGTTAAATAGGTAGCTACCCAGAATTTTGTCTGAATTGACTATTTAAGTCGTGACCTCTGAGTAAACTAGGTAGCTGCCTGGAATTTAACAGTTGTATATTTTTCTTTCAGGAACACTGTTACCCCCTCAGAGTTAGAATAGTAATTACGACTTCTAAAAACTGCTCGTGACTGATTCACGCTAAAGCCGTTGTAGAAATGCATATTGCACAAAGCAAAAGCCCGCGTCCTTACATCCTTCCCTTCATGTCAGACGTAGTCCTCGTTGCTTGTTACAACCCGGAATTTCCCTTCTTAAGAAAATCCTATTTCCAACCTACCAGAAGGGTTGATCACTCTCGTCCGAGTGCTATCTTTTTTATTATCGACGTATCTCCATTGATTGAGACTCACCCTCCAGAACAAGGACGCCCATATGAACTTAGCACAGGTTACGCCTTCCTTCCCGAGGAAAAAACGATGAAATGCCGCAACGCCCTTGACCTTTAGAATCTAACTCATCAGGACGTTGCCTTTAACGGTCGCCTCATCTCAGTGAGGCAACACATTATTTCTCTTCCCTCACCCACCAGGACCTGGTGACAAGAGAAAGTCAGAAAGAGCGGAAGCGAAATCGGAATCGGACGCCGATGGGTGGCCCGGCGCGGGCCTGCGCATGCGTGTATCATCACGCCCTCTCCCATATTCTGCATTTATTGTGAGAACACAATCTTAATAACGAACTCCGTACCCGGACCTAGCTCCCAGTGTTAGTCCAGCGCATCGACCATGCGACCCGTTTAAGAAGCATAATCATTGCATACACCACTGTAAAGACAATTTCGATACGAAGTGGACATTTTATGAGTGACAGCAGCTAAAATCATCGCTATAACCAACTCTTACTGTTTTTCCACCATTCTGTGATTTCCATTCCTCCACCGTCTCTCCCAGCCGTTTGAAAAGATCGCGTAATATTTTTAATCCTGTTCAATCGCAGCAGTAACTGAATTCTTTTAAGGATCCTACGCGGTTTGGTCGTTTATTACGCGTTCGATATTGCCCTGCAAATATGCGTTTTGTTGAACAACAGGACACCGTGTTTCTGTGTATGAGGACGCAAATCGCCTGTAAATGGGGAGGGAACCAAGGGGTTTTGTACAGAATTTCTGATCAGAAGAGGGCATCCCTTGAGGAAGCAGGCATTTGCGCTGGTTTTCGAGCGAAGTTGGACCCAGCGTGATATATCAGTTACCCATAGACCTAAGTGTGCAAGCCATCTGTGTAGTCAGTTCTCCGATGATTTTGTGCAGACTGGGCTGTGCGCGCGGAAGGTGAAGGAAACTTGGAAGTGTTGGGCCACCTTTGCCCAAGAACCATCATTTTTGAATGAATTGACTGGATGTGGCCGAGACATCTAAATCCATCTACAACAGTCAATTCGGTGAACAAATATTTTCAGTAGTTCTTGATCGGGCCCGTAGAATAACTGCGTAGGCCTGATGATTAATTACTGAAAACATATGTTTGCCGAGTCGACTTAAGCCTAATTTGCCTTCGAAAGATATTACAGTTGAAGCGAATACGGTAGTGGTCCTCACGTTGATTAGCGTGATGAACATGTATTTAATGTTTCAGCAGGCCTAACTACGTTTGGGCGATTGATAGCGCAAGCGCGTCTATAATGGACGACATTCCTGATACGAGGACTCTCCGAGGCCTAGGTTCAGTGACTGACGAGTCTAATAAGTCTATCTACGATAACACATACGACCTGGTCTCGCTGTCTGCGTCGGACTTCATTTTGGAGATTCTGGCCTCCCACATATGTGGTGAGAATCGCATAAAAGGGGACATTAAGGAGGAGCCATTGCAGTCTGACCCCTAGCCCTGCAGAACTTTTATCTGGACAATTCTGGTTTGTTTTTGTGTCAGCCATTCGGCTTTGGAGATTCTCCATCATGCTTCGAACCTTACTCAACCATTTGTCTTTCCATTTCCGTGTGACTCGAAGGTATGCCTATTAACATCACCCCGCTTTCCTCTATGTGTTCTATCATGAATTTATGAAAAAGAAAACCTTATCATTTGCTCTTATTTTACCCAAATCCTCCAGGGCAAGTACGGGGATTTGAACAGCCGTCTTGTGTCCTTCGGCCCTTGTCAGACGCCAACACTAGGATTTTGTGTAAAGCGTCACGATCGAATCCAGTCGTTCAAGCCAGAGACCTTCTGGCGAATATCGGCAACGGTTAGTGCACTTCTTCATATCTTTCATTGAAAATCCAATGTCGGGACTTTAAATGTCTCAAAAAAGCCTACTAATTGAACGTTCGAACCAGTTAAACCTATTAAACACTGCTTCCTCCATTATATTGACTATTATTTGTTTGCTTTTGTAGTGAGAATTGTCGGCTTCATGGGTAATGGTCTCATGACGAAACACAGATTAAGTTCGATTTATAGAAAAAATATAGTATACGTTGGTTATCTTTCGCAAAAACCATTGCAAGTTGGACGCAATACGGCGTTTGACCCCTTGTGACCGCGCAGAACTGCGGTACAAAATATTCACGTCTTTTTGACTCACAAGCGCGTCCGACGCGGTCAGGAGATCCGTAGGCGTTAGCGAGTTTCAGGTGAGAGTTGTTTGAACCACTCTCGCAGAAAATATTTCTTCCTTTTGTGTTTCCTGTCAAGCCTGCACGGGCGCTTGTTTTCAAAATTAAGAACACCAATAAAACTAATAATTTCGCACGTGATTAATCAAAATGCTTTAACTTGAATGTACGGCGAACGTCTAATGTCGACCGCGCAATTTTTACGAGCCGGTGACTGTCAGTGAATTAACCGCGTAATGTCCGTAAACTACCAAAGATCTATTCCAAAAGTAGGATACTTACCCACGCGAGACTTTGCTTGGGGAGGATAAGCGAAGACTGGGTATATTTTGCCATCGGTGCCTCAGGACCATCTCTCAAATGAACTACAACGACTTTTCCTGAAATGAAACAGCCCGCACTCGCTTCAATATTTCGGGGATATCAAAGAAAGATGATTGAGGTGGTTTGGGCCCGTTCTCTGTCGTCCGCATCATGAGCTCAGTTGCATTATTCTCGATCCGACGCCCTTGCCAACCTGGAGGCATCGAAGACTAGGTCGATTCACGACCTGGCTCGCATGCTTCGTCAAGACGTGGAGATGCTTCTTAGACCTTCGCTGGATAAGAGAACTGGTTGAGCTGTCGAGATTCGCTGCTGCAACTCGTCACGCATGTTCGGTGTCATCACTTCCAGTCAATTTAAGAAGCTGGCTTGTGGAAGACACTGCCTCCAACAGTCGTAAATGTAACAGCCCAATCCCCAGCGCCAGATTACTGACCGGTTCGGGCAGTGGACTGATGTATTGGAACTAGAAGAGTCAATGAGACCAGCTCTGAAGATACCAACCTTATGGCACTTCAGTGCATTCCTTTTCATAAAGAACCTGACGCACTTTGATGCTATCAACGCAGTAAAAATTCTGACTTGAAAAGCTACCAACTGATGCAATTACTCGGTCCTCGTCTGTGTGTGCATGTAGGGTAGCTGGCCCGAGAACTGTGAGTCGTAATTTATAGCTCTTTCTAGATTTAACCTCTGCGGCATCCTCATTCACGTGAGATCCGATCAGTCTGTGAAAAGTTGAGGATTTTTTGTGGGACCAGGTCGTGTGTGACATGCGCAGATGGGTTGTTTAACCTGGTCATCCGCTGCACTCGAGCCCTCTGTTTGTGCGTCGTGACTCTGTTGCCACCAGGCCCAGTTAGGTGAGGGAGGAGAAGATGCGACAACTGCAACGCAAGTCTTCTACCACTATAAACTAATTAAAGCATAAGTCACAGTCCCCATCTAACCGCGTCCTAAGGCATGCAGAGCATAGACCTTCGTGACTGTCGAACTGACAGATGCCAACTAAGGAAATTCTTCGTCTCTAGGCCTGTTCGCTAGTCGTAATTAACGCTGACACTGGAGCCAATTTAACCAGATGTCTTATGCAAGCGACTGATAGCTTCCACAGCCTGCGCATATGATATTTATGTTTACTTCTCACAGACGCACGTCTCCTTTAAGTCTACGCCCTGAACTTGTTTTCTGTAATTTGTAGGTGGTAGCTGGTGAGACTGGTGAACGTCTGCCACTCGTTTGGAACCGCGATCGCATTTTTGACAAGGAAGCCGCCATGGTCTTTCTCAACATGACCACTAGTGCAGACAAGGCAGTGTAGGTCCCGTTTTTTGTTTTGCTAATAACACAGCACATACCAATGAACAAACTTCCCATTTTCGACAATATGCCTTGTCGTTTTTTGTCATTTTCCTTCATCTTGCCCAAGAAGCTTGTGACTGGTAAGCACCTTTGGGAAATGTCACGATTATTTTTCATCGGCCTCCATATTGAACCTTATAAATACTCGATTCTCATCCATCCCGCGACATTCCTTGACTCTGTCAGACTTCTGGTTTTATGTGCTAGTTACTGAACTTTCCTGCGAAACGCCTCTTTCGCCTGCCACATGCATTCTACAAGCCAAAAAACGTACTCC